TCACATGCACATGCACATGCACGCATGCACACACGCACGCAAATACAAATTTTTTGGGTCTTCCGATTTTGTCTGGCCTGTTTGGAAACACATCTGGCATGAACACAGAGAGATCTCCTGCCGGTCTTGCTTCAAACATTGAACACACACACACACACACACACACACACACACACACACACACACACACACTTACATTTTATCTCTCTTTGCTCACTCGATTTCTCACACATTCACTCTCTTAGGCTTCCCAGGTTTCTTTCAATCCTTTCCACCGCTTCACCCTCAAAAGTTAGTCGTTTGTTCTGGTTTCATACTCTGTTGGTGTATATTTGAGGCTTTTGTTTAATGCATTTTGAGCGATAAAATATGGTTTGGTTCTACTGTTGATATTGGTTACATTTTTTCATTACTTCCACCTGCTGGTACGCAAAGAAAATGCAAGTGTATAAAAGACATGAATAGTGTAAGTGTATTTTTTTTATGACAGTCAGATGTTACACAAAAATGTATCAAGGTTTCTGAGGTTCCTTATCCTTAACAAGACCAAGATTATGCAACACATTAAAAATTGCCTATTTCTGATAATAAAATTGGTATTTTTTGTGTATTTTTGTACCATATCAGTGGCGTTATGTTTTGAATGGACTCTCAAAGGCTTAAAAAAATGTTTTTAGATAAAAAATGTACTATTTTCGATCAGGGCAGAAGTTAATTGAGAGATGTGTGAAAAAAAATCTGGAAAAAATATGAATCAAATATGTTTTTACAGCAGTCAATGTCAGTTGCCACTGAGCGTTAACAAAGGATGTTTTTTGGAAATCTGATCCTACAAAAAAAACTTAAAAGGCATCAAAGTCAATGATATTACTAATCCTTTACATATTTAAGACTATAATACCCTGCTAGAGATATCCAGTTTCTGATTATGTTTTCTTATAAAACTATATAAAAATATTTCTGACTTTATGTTTTAAATTGGCCCTTAAAGGGTTAAAATTTTGATTCTTAATGAAACATTTACTAGTTTTGAATAGAGCAGAAGTTAATTTAGAGATATGTCAAAAAAAAAAACTGGAAAAATATGAATCCAATATGTTTTTACAGCAGTCAATGTCTAAGTGGCTCAGTTGCTAAAAAAAGCCACTGAGCGTAAACAACTGATGTAAATCTAATGGTTACACAAGGATATATATATATATATATATATATATATATATATATATATATATATACAGTACAGGCCAAAAGTTTGGACACACCTTCTCATTCAATGTCTTTTCTTCATTTTTTTATATGACTATTTACATTGTAGAATATCACTGAAGGCATCAAAACTATGAATGAACACATGTGGAATTTTGTACTGATAAAAAAGTGTGAAATAACTGAAAACATGTTTTATATGCTAGTTTCTTTATAATTAGCCACCCTTTGCTCTTGAGGACAGAAGTACTTAGTGACTGACTCTGTTAGTCATGAAGTAACCTGGACAAGGCACACCTGTGAAGTAAAAACTATTTAATGACAACCTCATGAAGCTCATTGAGAGAACAGCAAAAGTTTGCAGCGCTATCAAAAGAGCAAAGGGTCTCTATTCTGAGGAATCTAAAATATAAAACATGTTTTCAGCTATTTCACACTTTTTTTCTTACGCACATGATTCCACATGTGTTCATTCATAGTTTTGATGCCTTCACTGAGAATCTACAATTAAAATAGTAATAAGAATAAAGAAAATGCGTTGAATGAGAAGGTGTGTCCAAACTTTTGGACTGTACTGTAAATATATATATATATATATATATATATATATATATGTATATGTATATGTATATATGTTATAAAGCTGGCAAAATAAAATTTCTAGTTTGCTAGTGAAAGAGGCAATCAGCAAAATCTGTTTGTAGAAAAGTAGAGTAGATTAAAACTTAATATAAATTTTTTATAGTGAGACATTACATAAAAGCCAGACTAAAAAGATAGCTTACAGACAATGCGCATTACAATGCTAGAAATCAATAAGTTTTAAGGTGGCATGAAAATGTCCTGAAAAATCCTGGAGAATGATTTCTATAAAAGAGTGGGAACCCTGTATTTGTTCACCCAGTTTCAATTCAGTTCAACTGAAATATCAAATGTAATAAAACTGTTCTGTATTTAAAGCAAATGTTTGTGTTGTTTTCCTTGGCTGATTACTTTGATATGCAGCCTGATTAGTTATAAATGTGGGTCTGCTCCTTACTATTTTTCTGCAGTTGTCTTTGCATGCTCCTTTGCTGTAGCCTAGCCTGTTGAGATGCAGGTGGATGTACACGAGTAAGAGTATGCTACTGTCAGTTTCTATATCATAGCATAACATTGAATCTAGGTAGGCTGTGTTTCGGCTATAATACCCTGTTAATAAGTTGGAATACAGTATCCCCACCACATTTGTCTTTGTAGGTCAACATCGTATGTTTCCTTAATCATTTTCTTAGAAAGCACCAGACTGTTACATCTACCTTTTGATAACGAAAACAAAATCTCCCGGGGGAAGATACCCCCGGACCCCCCTACAGGGCTCTGGTATCCAAAACTTCAGCCCCACCTATTATTTTTCTCACCAGCCGCCACTGCTATCACATAAATGCAGACTGATTGAGTTCCCCTCGAGCCGTCATTTCAGCTCTGTACTGATGCTGGATAAAACACTGCTTGATTAAAACAACCGTTAAATTTGATTTGCATCCATATCACTGAATCTAATCATCGAAGCAATACGATCCGTTATGTTCCAAAACAAACCTTGACACTAACACCAAAATTTTACCCTTGAACTCTTGGAACAAATAATATAGCTTGATGTTGCTAACAAAAAATAAACTCCAAATAAACGATTAAACTTACCGAGCAATTGTTTTGTCAAGTTGTGCCTGGCTTTGAGTCCGTCTTCCGAACTCCAACCGCTGCTGCTTAGGTGGAGTGGGTGTGTGCCATAGACTGTATATACTACGGACATCTTGGTTCCGCCTACCGCCTGTATACGGAGTTGAAGCCAAAAAGCTCTCGGTATTTCCGGGATTTTTCTTCATTTCCTGACACCAGCGCTGCGCAGTAGCAGTCGCCGAGAGTCGCTGTGATGACGCTAGGCTCAAACAGCGTATCGATAGATATATAGAAAGACTAGATAACGTACCTACGCTGTGAGCCAATGGGGACTGGTGTCGTCACACGGCGGCCATCTTACCTAGGGGCTGCTGGCCCACTGATAACATTAATGTCTATGGTGCATGTACTGTTTCCATGACCATATCCTACTCAAATTTCAACTGATAATAACGGATTGGTTTGTTATAAACGCCAGAGATGTAGTTATGTTTCTGCATATTTACGGATAATTATAACCATGGACTTTCATATTAAATTAAAAAAGGTGATAGTGGAGCAATACCTGCCATAACTGTACACATACACACACAGTGAAATTAAATTGTCAGGGTTTTTGATATATAACATTTAATAGTTAGATATTTTATAGTTCTATTTAATAGATATATTAAATATAAAGGGGTAAGTTGACCCACATGATATTTTAAACTTAATCTTAAAACTTTAACAAATAACGTATTTACTGATGAAAAATAATTTTATAAGACATTTCCTTTTTTCAAATAGTCTTAATTATTTTCTTTGGGTTATTAAACAATATAAAACCAATTAAAGCTTGCTTTTCAGAACCTTTCAATATTCGCAATCATTAATATAATATTGAAAACTTCTCTTGAATTAGTGTATTTCTCAAAAAATACAAAAAATAACCCAAAAAGTAAAAGATCATTCTGCTAATTTGAGTAGCAAAGACCTAATAAAAATTCCATAAATTGTGATTCATATTGGTTCAATTTATCCCAAGGGTTTTGGTTCATCTAGCCCTATGGCCATCGTTTTGATAAAACCTAATTAATTTAATGCTTCAGAATAATACTTTGCTTAATGACTCACATAGTTCTAAACATTGAATATCACTAACAAGCATGATGTATAAGTTGAGACCTGGGTCCATTTGCTTTAAAATAAAAATAATTATACCACAAATGTAAAAATATTCCACGGCCTGTTTTAGGGTCACATAACAACTCGTGTATAGTTTTAAAGATCAAGGGGATGGTTCGTTCATCTTACCCGTTTTGCTACATATATTTTAATATAAAAATTAAAATAAACACATTCAGTAACATGAAATAAAGGTTCTTTTATTAAACAGAGGTGAACAATTACAAAACAATTCAACATTCACTCCAAACCAACAGTCACACTTAACCATGCAGCATTCACTCCAAATCAACAGTCACTCACACGGTCGCAACAAAACCAACATATATACAAGTGCACGGACAGTTTGAGCTACTGCCCCTTGAAAAGGACTGTTTTGGTGAGCTTCTGTCTCACATTGTCTTTCTGTAAGCTACGCGTAGTCATTTTAGCAATGTGGTGCAGCCTTAATTTGAAAAACAGGGACACAACTAGAGCTAAATTATGATATTGTTGTGGTAATTCATATAGCCTATGCTTGAATGCCATTATGTAAACTTAAATAACAAGTCAATAACAGTAACATGTTAAAAAAAAATGTGAAAAAGAAATATTCAATGATTATTATGTAAACAAATGGTAGAAACATTTCTAAAACGTCAGGGGGAAAATAACTTGTATTTTACAAGTACAAATTTAACTAAGTTAGTAACAATTATGCTAAATATGTCCCTCAAGTCATTTCTTATGAATGAAAAGTGATTCCACGGGCTCTTGTTGGAAAAGAACGTTCATTTGAGCATCCATGTGCTGCACAAAAGTCTGGCATATTCAGAAATGTATATTCACTAATGAGTCACTACATTTCCCTTTAAAAAAAAAAAAAAACTCTTCTTTTATTATAATACTTCCAGCATACCATTTTCTACTTCTTCTGGAGCTTCAGCATTTTGAACCACGTCTTAAAGTTCAGCTGTCTGTGTGAGGCCCCGGCTTAGTTGAAAGACTTTCCTTTTGTGGACTATGGCCCACTTCTCCAGGAACCTTGCAGAGATGGCATCATCAAACATCAGACTGAAATCCTGCTCAATCTGCAGACAAGATGGAATAAGTAAAGACAGAGCAGTAAGCATTGTTATTGAGGATATTCACAGTTTCAAACTAAGGGAGTTGAGGATCCAAGTTGAGGATCCTGGTACGTCTAGGAATCTTGGAAACGCTGTGAATATGTCGGAAGACTTCACTGGGTCATGAACCATCTTGGCGAAAGGTGAAGGTTTGCTTCATCTTCTCCTTGACAACTGCTTCATCCGCCTCTAAAAGCCTCTGAACACAGGGAGTCTGTGCTTAGCCAGTTCTCCTCCAGAAAGGGTTCTCGATCACCTTCTGGACCACCTGTAACAGTGTAGACACTTTGCTGACAAAATAAAGCACTGATCTGACCCATATTTAAGTGCTTTGAATATTTTCTTGCACCCCTACAAGCCCCTCATATAATCATTCTTCAATCATAAACCATGAACTACACTTTCAGTCAACGTACAATTAAAATGAGCATACCTGTCTGTGTGAGCAACTGTCGGCCAGTCCTCTTTTGTCCCTCTGATGCTTCCTTTTGGAGAGATTTCAGTCTCTGTGCCAGATACCCACTCCCATCTCCTGCATTGTAAAAATGCTCCTACAGTAAAAAGACATTCAGTTTGGTTGAGCAGGATAAATATATTTTTAAACTTTTCCTTTATAATATACATATCCACAGAAAGATCTGCTCAATAAAGGAGAAGAGTTTAACATTTAGCTTTTTTATGAAAATGAAGGTGGGCAAAAAACAAACAAACAAACAAAAAAATTAAGTTGGACTGAACCACCCAATACAAGCAGAGTATGTTTACTTTTTACAGTTTAGGAGCCCCAGAGAACAGAGAGGTGAACGAGAAAATGATTAAATTTAGTTTTGATTAACTTACATAGCCAAACCTGCCCCTAGGATCAGCCAAGTATGGAAACAAGGCAGTGATGCCCCTTGCATATTCCTGTTTGTCCTCGAAGGACTCGTCCTACACATGCACACACAGATACATAGACATCCCTTAAGATCAAATTTTAGTATTACATGCATCTGAAACCTGCAAAAGGATGGATGTTTTACAACAGAGACAAAAAAAGATTTTTACACGTAGGTTTGCAAACATACCCATGTTCACTTGTCATATGTGCAACCAATATCTTGACCAGATCACGTCTTCTGGAATCAGTTAGGCTTTTTGCCCGGGCATATTCATTCAGGATCCTCTCTCCTCCAGGCTTCGTACTCAGAATGTTTTCAATTTTCTGAGCAATAGTCAGATTTTTTTACTTTATCATTTAATCAAGAAACAATTAGAGTGATGATGCTCAGGTTAGACTTTCTCTAAAACTTTTTTGAAGTGCGTTATAGGAATGTATGCTAATTTCTGAAATGTACACTACACGCCAAAAGTTTGGAAGCAAGGACATTACAGGCCGAACAGTTGGGAGTAACTTCAAGTTTTTGTTCACAATGCTTTTTTTAAAATCCAGCATGAGTTTTATGTATTTTAGGATGTATTTACTCCATGATCAGACGTTGCTTTCATGGAAATGCACCATTTTACTTCATTTACCTTTAGATATACATTGATGTTAACAGACCATTGCTAAATATATGTCAGCAAAAGAAAATAAGGCCTTAGTTTTAGGGTTGAAAACATTTGCAAGAGTCACAACTTCAGTGCAAAAGCAAAAAAAAAACAAATCACAGTTGGATTATTCACTTCAACTTTTTGGCTTTTGAGAGTCTGTCTACAAAAATCCTAATAAATATCAACTGCGTTTAAACTACTGCAAACATGGCTAGAAAAAAGCAGCTGAGTAAAGAAACAAAAGTAAATATTTGTACATTGAGGAAAGAAGGATACATAGAAAGAGAAATTGCAAAACGCCTTTAGGTGTTTAACAAAGGAGTCCACTACACTCTGAGGAGACTAGAGGAACCTGGAAGTTATGATGATAGAAAAAGACCTGAACAAAAGAGAGTTACTACAAAAGCAGAGGATAAACATAGCATTGTCACCAGTAAGAGAGATCGGCAAAAGACAGCACCAAAAATAAGGGAGGAAATCAACATGACAAGGTCGAAACCCGTATCTCTGAGAACCGTGAAATGACATTTGAGAAAGGCTGGTCTGAAGGGTTGTGTGTCTGCAAAAAACACTACTTCATCCACAGAACAATAAAAAGAGATATGAGTGGGCAAAAGCTCACAAAAATTGGACTTATGATGACTAGAAACAAGTTTGCACTGTTTCATTCAAAAGGCAGAGTCTATGTCCGCAGACAAACTGGTGAACGTCTGAAAGCACCATGTGTTACACCCACAATTCAGCATGGAGGTGGTAGTTCCATGGTATGGGGATGTTTTGCAGGTGATGCAGTAGGAGCTTTGTTTGAAGTAAAGGGCATCATCGAGAAGGAACATTACCACTCCATCCTCCAGCACCATGCCGTTCCATCTGGACTCAGACTTGTTTTGCAGCAAGACAATGACCCTAAGCACTCTGCCAAGCTCTGTCAGGGTTACCTAGACAAAAAAGAAGAGGAAGGTATTCTTCATAAGATGGTTTGGCCCCCTCAGTCTACAGACCTTTCTCAATTGAGCTTGTGTGGGATGAATTGGATCGATTGGTCAGAAAAACGCGTCCCACAAATCAGCAGTCTTTTTTTAATGAACTTAAGAAAGCTTGGAATGCAATCCCTGGAACATACCTTAAAAAACTTGTGGAACGAATGCCTGGTATATGTCAAGCTGTTGTTAAAGCCAGAGGAGGTTACTTTAAGGAAAGCAAAGTCTAAGCAACAATAACTCAAATACCTAATAATTATAGTCAAAATGTCTTCTGATAAGTTACTATTTTAACTTCAACTTTATTTCATTTATATGGCACTTTTCATACAAAGTTGTAACACAAAGGGCCTTACAAAGCATAAAAAGAAAATGAAACATTAAAATCCCCAAGAAAACCCCAAACCTCCCACCCGCACAATTATACCCATACACACACCCGTGCACATAGACATACATTTCCACACACACAACTTCACAAACACACGCACCTACACAGTCAGCAGCTGATGGTGAGGAGACATGACTGGGCACTGAGATCTGAGGTGAGGAAGACGCTACCTTTGGGGGCCACGTCGACTGGGAGGCATCCCGGCCCATTGCTGCAGGGGGCGCCGTCACAGGGACCACCAGCCCGGGCAGACAGGAGGCTCCACACCAAGGTGTAGAGCTCTCTGGTTCCAGCCGGGCCAGAGCTGTCCCCAGAACGACGCCCCCACCAACAGACCAGAACCCGCTCCCGGTGAAGCAGCCCCAGGAGGAAACACTGGAAAAACTGAGGGACTAAAAGAATAAAATAAGACATAAAAGTATAGAAACTAAAACTGAAGGAATAAACTGTAATCGCTAAGACAGACCCAGTAAATAAAAAATGATTCTGTGCACTGTAAAACACGCCAGACTAAAAATAATAATAATAATATTGATAGATTGAAGTATAAAATAGAACGGTAATAAAAAGTGTTAGATAGTGAAACAATAAAAGTGAGCATAAAAGGGATTAAAAGAGTTAAACTAGTCAGTTAAAAGCCTGATTAAAAAGATGAGTCTTTAGCCTCTTTTTGAAAATATCGGCATTCTCTGCAGCCCTGAGGCTCTCTGGGAGGCTGTTCCACAATCGGGGGCCATAATAACTGAATGCCGCCGCCCTGTATGTCTTAGTCCTTACTTGTGGGATTTTTAAGAGACCAGCTCCAGAGGACCTCAGGGTCCGTGAGGGTTGATAAGGTAAAAGTATCTCGGATAAATAAAACGGCCCAAGACCATTAAGACACTTAAAAATTAAGAGGAGAACCTTAAAATGGATCCTGAAACATACGGGGAGCCAATGCAGCGATTTTAAGACAGGAGTAATGTGCTCCCGCCCTCTGGTCCTCGTCAGCACACATGCGGCTGAGTTTTGTAATAATTGTAGGTTTTGCATGTTCTTTTTGGGAAGACCAGAGAGCAGGGCATTACAATAATCCAAACGACACGAGATAAAAGCATGCATCAGCACCTCCGTGCTGGCCTGAGAGAGAAACGGGCGGACTCTGCCTATATTCTTTAGATGGCAGAAACCTATCTTTGTTATGTTTTTGATATGTGGAATAAACGTGAGCTTGGAGTCGAAAATCACGCCCAGATTTTTTACAGATTTTGAAGGTTTAAAATCCTGTAACTTTGGTAAAAGTTTCTCTCTCTGGCCTTCAGGACCAATGACTAAAACCTCTGTTTTGGCCTGGTTGAGCTGCAGGAAATTTGCTGCCATCCATGATTTAATGTCTAAAATGCAGTTAAAAAGGGCATCAATTGGCCCTGTGTCATCTGGAGACACGGCGATGTACAGTTGCGTATCATCAGCATAGCTATGGAAGCTGATGCCGTGCCTCCTGATGACATCCCCAAGGAGTAACATGTAGAGGTTGAACAGAGTTGGACCTAGAATTGACCCTTGGGGAACCCCACACTCGATTTTATGGGTCCTTGAGGAACATGTATCCATACTTATAAAGAAATTTCGATCAGTCAGGTAGGACGTGAACCACTTAAGAACAGTACCAGAGAGGCCAACCACATTCTGCAGTCTATTTAATAAAATGTGATGGTCTATTGTATCGAAGGCGGCTGTTAGATCCAGCAGAACCAACACTGTGAGTTTGTGGTTATCTAAGTCACATCTGATGTCATTTAAAATCTTCAGAAGTGCTGTCTCTGTGCTGTGGTTCCTCCTAAAGCCAGACTGATGAGTCTCTAAAATATGTTTTGAGTTTAAAAAATCATTTACTTGGTTAAAAACGAGTTTTTCCAGAACTTTACCTAAAAATGGTAGGTTGGATACAGGCCGGTAGTTATTTAAAACATTGGGATCCAAATCACTCTTCCTCAGAAGGGGCTTCACCACCGCCTTTAAAACGGCGGTGGGGAAGACACCCGTCTGAAGAGAGCAGTTTACTAAATACAACAGCTGTTCCTCGAAGAATCCATAGAGTTTTTTAAAAAACGGTGTGGGAATTGGGTCTAAAAGGCAGGTTGTGGGCCTTACCTGGGAGAAAACTCGACCAAGTGTCCTCGCATCAACCAGGGCAAAACTTTCCAGTGCTTCCTCAGGTAAACTCTGTGATCCAGGTGTTAAAAGCTGTCGGGATAAAAGACTGGATTGAATGTCATCTATTTTTCGTCTGAAGTGGTCTGCAAAATCCTCACAAAGGACATTATCAGGTGTTATGGAGGATCTTTTAAAATTTTTGTTTGTTAAAAGATCTATTGTGGAGAACAGGAATTTGGGATTATTTTTATGGTTATGGATTAGATTTTGGAAGTGGGAACTTCTTGCTTGTTTGATTGCGTTATTGTAAATCTTAAGAAGTCGGTGTAATATTTCATAATCCACTGTCAGCTTTGATTTCCTCCATCTCTTTTCAGCACTCCTGCAGTCCCTTTTCAATTTTTTAATGTCTTCAGTTCTCCACAGGGATGTAGGTTTTGATTTGACTGTTTTTGTAAAAAGTGGAGCCACTGAGTCCAGTGCTGACTTCATTTTGTTGTTCAGGTTGTCAGTGACAAAATTGCAGGGTGCTGGTAAAATTTCATCTGGAATTCTCTGTAAGATCTGGATAAAATTTGCAGCCACTTCAGAAGTTAAGTAACGTTTACTGTTCTCACCGGGGCCTCCCTCTGATTAAAACTGGTGATTGTAAAAAAGACACAAAAATGGTCAGACACAGCCAGGTCCACAACAGAGGGTGCTCCAATGGACAGACCATAAGATATGACTAAGTCCAAGGTGCGCCCCCTGCTGTGGGTCGGCTGTGTGACATATTGGTTAAAATCAAAGCAGTGTAAAAGGTTTAAAAATTCTCTGGACATTGGGTCTGAGGAGATGTCCACATGTAGATTAAAATCACCAGTTATTAAAATCCTGTTAAAAGTGGCATAAATAATTGATAAAAGCTCTGAAAATTCCCGAATAAAAGAAGTGGAATACTTGGGAGGTCGGTAGACAGTTATACAGAGGATAGGTGGGCTGCTAAAAACGAAGGCATGGTACTCAAATGATGAGTAGCTGTTAAAAATGACTTCATTTGTATGCATGTTGCATTTTGTAATTGAGGCAGTACCACCCCCTCTTCTGCACCCCCTAGTTGAAAATAAAAAGTAAAAATTTGGGGAAGCCTCGGTGAGAATAACAGGTGCATCAGTGCCAAGCCATGTCTCTGTAAGGAGAATGCTGTCCAGGTTATTGTCCGTAATTATGTCATTGATGATAAAAGATTTGTTTAAAAGAGAGCGCACGTTCAGCACAGCCATTTTAATATCTGTGCTGGACGTGCGCTCAGTGCATTTTTCTAAGGGAACATTAAAAACACATTTTGGTCTAAAAGCAGTCCTCCTCTTCCTAAGTAGTCTATGTGTGGTTATGGTTGTGATGGTGTAAATCTTGTCCTGTGCCACTGAGGGCACAGAGGGAGGGGCGTGTATAGTGTAGGTAGGGAGTGGTGAAGGTGAGTGTAAATGAGGTGCAGAGGGCCTGTGTGCAGACAGTCAGGAGGTGGTTGTGTAGGACCGGAGCGTCAGGTCAATATTTACTGATAAAAGCCTTGACCCCTCCTGGTTCAGGTGAAGGCCGTCTGATTTAAAGAGGTGGGGTCTGTTTGAAAAAGCAATAAAATTGTCCAAATATGGGATACTTCTCCCCAGACAGAAGCCCTTACACAACAGTCATGTTTATTGTGTTGCAAATTATATATATGAAACTATTATCTTTTTTTGTACAACTCTGATCTTGCTTCCAAACTTTTGGCTTGTGGTGTATATAAATTTTTCACAACTTTATTTTGAAAAATATTATGGATATCTTTTTATAAAAATGTCTTCAAAAGAAACGGCCCATCTAAAAGTTTAACAAGGATAGGCAAGTGCTGTACAGTAAAACATGTCAAAACTTCAATTCATCTGTAATTTATCACTCACAATCTTAACGTTTGAAATAGTGTGTTTAAACATTCTAAAAATATGCAAGAAAATCTACTGAGCTCACCTGAGCTAGAGAAGCATCCTCATTTGCACATCTTTGAGTCGGACTGGGCTGCAATATGATGGTGCTATCAGAATCCCCCTCATTATCTCCACTGAAACTTTCATAGGAGCAACTTGCAGAGGAGCTCATTGAATCTAGCAAACATGTTCAGATTTGACAGGTGAGATTAATACAAAACTTTACACAATGTAAATCCCATTTAGGTTTGGGATTGAGAGAGACAGGTTAGCGCAGAAAAAATGGCGTAAAATGAAATGTGACTGTTCACTTTGATTTACTGCTTCAAACTCCAACATGATATAAATTTTATGACAATGTCCAGCCCTAATTCAGAACATGTTTAGTCAGGCAGAAATGTATGAATGGATGTAAGACTCAACTCACCATCAAGGTTTGGTTTTTCAGGCATACATATCTCCAGAACTCCAAGGTCTTGACTCCTTAGAAGAAACTCAAACCCCTTCTCATCAATTTCAGTTTTGGAGTCATCATATACTTTGACGTCCAGGGTTGGAATGTCAAATTTCTTGGCAACTATGATGACAACATAAAATTGCATTACTGAACATTACTGATGGATTTGCTGTGAATCAAGAGTAAATCAAAGGGCACCTTATTTTGAATTGTTGCTGTAATCTCAAAACTGACTCAATTCACCCTTACAGGTTAATCCTACCTTCAATTGAATTATTTTATTTAATAATTGACAATATACAGTCAAAACAAATGCCACAATTAGATGCACTGTACCAGATAGCTTCAAACTAATTTGACTTCTGTACCCATCTCTAGCACATTAGTTGGGAATTTGTTTGGTTTATTCAATTAGTAGAGTGATATTTACCTGCTCTACTAATAAAGCACCCTGAGATTACTGTTGTGATTTAAAGCTGTATAAATAAAAACTGTTGCAACTGTTCTGTCAGTTTAAGTATTATAGAACTACACCACAACTAGAATCTCCCTTTTTAATTATGTTTAAGTTAAATTAATTTAAGTTAAATTAATTTAAGCTTGAGTTATAAGTTGTATGTAGTTGGTGGGCTGTTGATGACAGATATTCATCTTTCTTTAAGAAAGATCATCTTTCTTTAAGAAAGATGAATATCTGTCATCAACAGCCCACCAACTACAGCCGACTGGACGGAAGTTAAAAGCAAACTTTATCTATAATGTCTTTGTGGAACATCAGTCATGCCATCTTGTTTATGAAAAGTTGTACTGCAACCATGTAAATTTGAAAAACCCTTAAAAAACTACAAACATATGAAGCTCATGATTTAAAAAAAAAGGATGCAGGAAAAAAAAAATCTTATTTCTGTGGTTAGTAAAATATTTTCCACTCACCACATTCCAAAAAGCACTTGAAAGTCAGTTGCCCTTCATAACAAATGTACTTTTGACGATCGCCGTACTTGACTCTTATCGCCCGCATCCTTGAAAAAAAGGAAAGAAAGTTAATGTAAATTATATAATCTCACATGTACACACCATCTGGTAGTTTTACCAGTGAAAACTTGAAAGAATGTATTATCAGCTCATTAGATATACAATCCCTCAATAACAAAAAACTACTATCTCTGAATATGCAAATATTAAAACAGATAGGAGCATAGTGTTACGCCTCTAATGAGGATACTTTATACTGTTTAAATTTAACAGCATGATCACAACCGCAGTAAGTAGAAGAAACCATCAATGACTATAATGGCCAAATACCAAAATATTAAATGTTTGGTATTACTATATATACACATAATTGTATAAAATACCATAATAATAGCTTGCTATATTAACACTACAATGACAATTTGTCACAGATCTTTGCCTCAGACTGTGCTGATTGAGGTTTTTAAGTGGGCATAACGAAACATTTACAGTTAGACATACACACATCAGTGATCACAATGCATGCTAATGATTGTAGTGTTCAGAAGTTGATTTGCTCCTTAATCAAAAAGACTACACATGGTGTACAAAATGCAGGGATTTTAGCAGTAAACTAAATTCCCCTGACCAGAGTGATAAATAGAAAAGGTTATGACGTGTAACATAGACCAATATTTTCAATTTAATTCAAGTTTTGTGTTAAACTTTTAAGAATGACACTGTGGTTGATCTTTTGTGTAGCACATAAATTTTTATTCCTGTTTTATTTTATTAATAACTCGTTTTTAACATTATTTGCGCCGTGTCGCCATAGTAAATTACCACTCAGTTAACTGGTCTCCTTCAAAGTCCCGTTCAAAATCACACTCCACATCACAATCACAGCCTTAAGCTTTTAAATGTCATAACATGGTTATATTTCATTCCGGTTATGTTTTCTGAGCATCTTTCCCACATGAATGGTGACAAAAACATGTTAGCATCTGTGCAGCTCTGTATCATGTGTCTCCTTCTCTTAGCGTTCACTTTTGGTCCCTTAATGCACACAGCGCCATCTACTGCATACGGACTGACACTAAGGACAAAGTCACCAGACCTACTTGAAAATGAATACTGTAATTTTAAAACGGTTTAGAGTCCCTAGCTGTATAAATGCAGATTTTAAAAAGAGAGCAAGATATTTTAATCCAGTCTTTCTAACACCTCTGCTGTTTCTGAAAACCAAAAGTGCAGCTCCATGCTGTCCACCTTACAACAAAGGGCCATTTGCTCACATCAAAACAGGGTTTTTCATCAAAATTCCAGCATGTTATGTTCTGCGTAAAGTAAGGCATTCTGTTAAGAGCTAAATACACATGTTCCACCTCAATTCTCACTAGCAAAAGCTCACGAATCCCCGTTGATATGCTATGGCCTTACTGCTCAATTGGTTGTACTTAGCTGCAGCAGTGGTCTTCACTCCGCACCAATTCAGTCAGTCTGTTCAGGGTCAAATACACTTGTTTGTTCTTTATTCTCACTAACACAGGGGCTCACGAAAATACTGGGTTCATCTAATTGTTGATGGCTAATATTTGTTCATGGTGGGCTGTGCAAAAACACAGCAATACAGAGCGATGGCCCTCACCTCTAACATGACCCCGCCTCTCCAACATGACCCCGCCTCTTATATCACCCTACCTCTAACATAAGCCCGAATCTTCAACAAAACCCTGCCCCTAGAACATGACCCCTCCTCTACACAATGATCCCGCCTCTAAACCATGACCTCGCCTCTCACATGACCCCACTCTATAACATGCCTCGCCTCTTAAATGATCCCATCTCTAACATGACCCCACTTTTTACATGAACCTGCCTCTCTAGGAGTCTCTGCCTCTAACATGACCCTACCTCTTACATGGCCCTGCTTCTACAACATGACCCCCCCTCTGCAACATGACCCCGGCTTTTAACATGATCTCACCTCTAACATGACCCCACCTCTGTCATGACCCTGTCTCTGTAAAGGACCCCACCTCCCTGACATGACTTTGCCTCTATAACATGACCCCACCTCTCTAATCTGACCCCAGCTCTAAACCATAACACCGCCTCTACATGACTTGCCTCAATAACATGACCCAGCCTCTAACATGACCCACCTCTAACATGACCTCACCTCTACGACATGACCCTGCCTCCACAACATGACCCACCTCCAACATGAACCTAACTATTACATGACCCTGCCTCTTAAAAATGACACTGCCTCCCTGACATGACCCTGACTGTAACATCACCCTACCTTTTACATGACCCCGCCTCTTCAACACAACCCACCTCTCTAACATGAACCTGCCTTTAAATCATGACCCCACCTCTAGAACATGACCCCACCTCTACAAAATGACCCCCACCTATAACATGACCCCTTCTCTAACATGACCTCGCCTCTTAAAAATGGACCCTCCTCTACAACATGACCCTTCCTCTTAACAATGACCCCTCCTTTACAACATGAAACAGCTTCTTACATGATACCGCCTCTTCAACATGACCCAGCCTCTAGCATGACCCCACCTCTTAGCTATGACCCTGCCTCACCAACATTTTCCAGTCTCTTTAACATGAACCTGCCTCTAAACCATGACACCGCCTGTCTAATATGACCCTGCCTTTAACATGACCCCATCTCTACAACACGACCCAGCCTCCCTAACATGATCCCACCTCTACAACATGATTGCGTCTCCAACCTGATCCCACCTCCAACATGACCCCACCTCTAACATAACCCCACCTTTCTAGAAGTCCCGCCTCTAACATGACCATGCCTCTTTAATGACCCCGCCTTTACAACATAACCCCGCCAAATATCATCCCTCCTCTACAAGATGACCTGCCTCTACACAATGACCCAACCTCTCAACCATGACCCCGCCTCTACAAAATGACCCCTCCTCTACAACGTGACTCCAACTCTAACATGACCGCGCCTCTACAACAGGACCCCGCCTCTAACATGACCCTACCTCTACAACATAAGCCCGCCTCTAACATGACCCTGCCAAATATGATCCCACCTCTACAACATGACCCCGCCTCTTTACAATGACCAAGCCCCTAAACCATGACCTCACTGGGACTATTACAAAGTAGCCTAGACATAATAAATTTACAGGTGGGAAAGGCAGAATTACTCCTTTGTTTTAACATACATAATATGATTTCCAAGCTGTTTCATTAGTTAAATATATCCTTAATTTAGATTCATTGTGATAAAGTAAATGCCTGGCTTTGCGTTTATAGAAATACCCCCTACAGTCCAAGATGCCAGACTTTTGTGCAGCACATGGATGCTCAAATGAACGTTCTGTTCAAACAAGAGTCTGTGGAATCAACTTTCACTTGTAAGAAATGACTTGAGGGACATATTTAGGATAATTGTTACTACCTTAGTTAAATTTGTACTTGTACAATTCAAGTTATTTTCACCTTGACGTTTTAAAAATGTTTCTACCATTTGTTTACATAATCATTGAATATTTCTTTTTCACATTTTTTTTAACATGTTACTGTAGTTGTTCGAAAACATCTTGCGATGCAAAATCTTGGACACATCATCAGTGATAGTACCTGGGATCACGGGGGGTTTCGGGTCTTTCAACTTCAGACCCCCTCACCCAGGCGACCCGACCGGGAGTGATCAGTTCCCGGCCTGTGTTCAAGAAGCGCTCATCCACGCCTTGTCCCTCTGAATCCACAGCCATCGTGATGCTTTCTCAGCTGCTTCTGAAGCTCAGCAGATGGCTTTCCTCTTACATGCCCCTGTGATGCCTAGGAGACTGTAGGCCCTGCAGAGTGACTTCCCTGCAAAGCCCCTTCCCCCGACTGACCTCAATGGGCAGGCATCTTGCATGCCACCCCCTGTTGCGGCAGTCCTCCACCAGCTCGGCGTACTTCTCCCTCTTTCTCCCACTGGCTTCCTCCATCCTCTCCTCCCAGGGCACCGTCAGCTCCAACATGATGACCTGCTTGGAAGACTCTGATTGTAGGACTATGTCTGGTCTCAGGCTGGTTTCCGTGATGTTCTAAGGGAACTTAAGCTGTTTTCCTAAGTCCACCCTCAGCTGCCAGTCCTTTGCTGTTCCCAGGAGTCCTGTTTGGGCCTTTGGTTGGGGAGGAGGTTTTTTCCCCAGCCCTCATAAATGCTATTCTGTGCCTCAGTGGTTGCAGGTACTTGCTGTGGTCAATGGCAGAGTGGATGGACTCAGCAACTGCCTTCAGCACCTGGTTGTGGCGCCAACGATGGCGGCCATCTCCAAGTGCCTTACGACAGCTGCTGAGGATGTGCTTCAGTGTTCCCCTCCCCTGGCACAAGGTACATGATGGAGCTTCAGCCTTGCCCCAAAGGAAGAGGTTTGACGGGCTGGGCAGGACATCATAGACAGACTGTTATTGACTTGTTATTTAAGTTTACATAATGGCATTCAAGCATAGGCTACAAGAATTACCCCAACAATATCATAATTTAGCTCTGTCTTTCTGTCTTCACCATTAATGTTAAAGGTAAGAAGGATGTAAAATGTTGTCAATAATTCATATCTCGATATCTTCTCATGTGTTTAAGGTTTCCCCAAAACGCAGAGAAGAGGAGGCAATTGGAACTTGCTCTACAAAAGGAGCATTTTGTTTCAACTAAAAACTCCAAACTATGCTGCTAACATTTCAGGAGTGAGGATTTTGACAGGACAGGGCAGACTGTCCGGCTTAGAGCTGGTGTTGTGCCAACCATTTTCAACTTCCCTGCTCATCTCCAAAGGGTATGTGTACCATTGGCCAACAAGAATTCAAGCAGTTTAAGATAGATAAATCAATGTTTTATGATTCTGCAAGTTTAGGAATACATTAAGAGTTGTGCATCAAGAACATTTTAATATTTAACTGTTTATTTTAGCCGGTAGCAACAAGAAGCACAGCTGCCTCTGGAAGAGCAGAAGAAAACCTGCCAATGGATCTGCACCAGGATGAACCTCCGCCTGATGTTGTGAGTATTTGTACACGTGTGGACTGTCACTTACAAATAAGAGCATCATATGGCTTGTCATTAAATCAGCCCCTAGGTAAGATGGCAGCCGTGTGACAGCGTTTTTTTTGTGAAATTATTTTGGACGTCAACATATTTTTTCGAACCCGTATCCTGTCAATACAAGCGTTCACATCAGCAACGTTTTCCCATCCTGCGATATTGTGGCATTTATTTTTTCAGATCATGGTCGATTTTTCTAAAGTTTCCCATACTGTGTGCTTACTTCTGACCAATCAGATTGCATGTTGTTGCGATATCCAGATGTACACCTAGGCATTTATATGATGTCACCACTTCGATGTCCACTCTACAGGTGTTCACTGGCTGAAGAGGGGGTTTGGGTCTATGGAAGTCTATGACCATCTCCTTTGTCCTTTAGGTGTTGAGAAGGAGGCACTTTTTGTGACTCGAGTCACTGAAGGCCCTTATTAGATCTCTGTATTCAGCTTCTTGTCAATTTCTGATACATGCCACAATAGCGGTGTCATCTGAGTATTTCTGGACGTGGCAGGACTCAGTGCTGTATTTTAAGTCTAAAGTATACGGTGTGAACAGGAATGGCGCCAGCACTGTCCCTTGTCGAGCCCCTGTACTGCTCATTAATGTCCCAGAAACACAGTTTCCCAGCCTGACAAACTGTGGCCTCCCAGTCAGGTAATCTGCGATCCAGGAAACACAGGAAGGATCCACTCCCATCTCTGTGAGCTTGTCTTTAAGTATGGTAGGTTAAAAGGTGTTGAATCCACTTGAAAAGTCAAAGAACATGATCCTCACATAAAGCCCAGGTTCCTCCAGATGAGACAGGGCACGGTGAAGCATGTAGAGGACAGCATCATCCACTCCATTGTGTTCTTTGTGTGCATACTGCAGGGAATCCAGTTTGTCTTTGACCTCAGACCTCAGAAGGCGTAGAATCAGCCGCTCCAGGGTTTTCATGATGTGTGAAGTGAGGGCCGCTGGTCTGTAGTCCTTGAGTTCAGCCGGACATTTTGTTTTTGGTACTGGCACAATGTAGGATGTTTTCCACAGAGTAGGTACTTGCCCCAGCGGTAGACTCAGGTTGAAGATCTTGTGGAGAGGTTGACACAGTTCTGCAGCACAGTCTCTAAGCAGCCTTGGACACACACCATCTGGACCAGCTGCCTTCCCAGGACAAAGTCTTCCAATCTCCATCCTCACCCCTGTTTCGGTGACAGACAAGAACTGGTGTTCTAGGAGGGAGGCAGTTGAAGTGGTTAAGACATTTGAATAAGAGGGAGGAGGAAGGGGAGAAGTTGTAGTGGAGAATTTTGCGGAGAGGAAGGTGCAGTAGCAGTGGAGGTGGGAGTGACAGCAGTGTCCAATCTGTTGAAGAACAGGGTGAGTTCATCAGCTCTTCCCAGATCACCCACCACTGGCTGTCTTTTCTTTTTATTGCTGTATCCAGATATGGTATAGATTCCTCTCCACACTTCACGGATGTTGCTGTGTTGTAGATTCTTTTCTATCTCCTTTTTGTACTCCAGCTTTGCAATCTTCAGTCTCTTCTTCAACTCTTGTTGCACTTGTTTGAGTCGTTCTTTGTAACCATCTTTAAAAGCTTTCTTTTAGTGGTTAAAGATTGCTTTTATGTCACTTGTGATCCAGGGTTTGATGTTGGCGAAACAGCGAACAGTCTTGGTGGGTATATTGGTGTCTCTACATAAGTTGACATAATCAGTAAAGCAGTCAACCTTTTTATCAATGTTCATACTATCCACATCTTTTTCCAGCAGCACATTCCAGTCTGTTGATTTAAAACAGTCCCTAAGAGCTTCACTAGCTTGAGGTATCCATCATCTGATTTTGCCTTTGATAACAGGCTGCCTCAGTACACAACGTCTGTAACAGGTTTGCAGATAGACCAAGTTATGTTCTGACTTGCCCAGTGATGCTAAGGCAGTGGCTCTGTAGGCTTCTTTGATGTTGGCATACAGCAAATCCAGACTTTTGTTTTCTCTGATAGGATAGTTCACAAACTGTGTGAATCCAGTCAGGTGAGAGAAGAGGGTGACATGGTTGAAGTCTCCCGATATTATTAGATTATTAGATTATTAGTACCTCAGGGTGTTGAGTCTGTAGCCTGGCTACACTATTTTGCAAAACAGCACAAGGAATTTCTTCAGTTGATTTGGGTGGAATGTAAACAACTATTGTTATGATATGACTCAATTTTCTTGGAACATAATATGGCCGAAGAGCTTATAAGAGTGAAACCAGGTAGATCCTCAGTGGAGTCTGAGTTGTTTTGATATAATAATTCTCACTATTCATGTCTTATTCTACAAAAATTCTGACATTAACTGTTTCATCATATTCATACCTGCCTTGTTTTCTAAACCTACTAAATTTCCATCAGGCAGTGCCTTCAGGTTTTAGTTTTCCACAGTATAAATCCCTCTGACCATTCATGCCTCATACTGCTCCTTTGTACAATTTTCTATTCATTTAAACAGATTAAAACTTTCATATTTCACACATTTAAACTGTTGTGATTGTAAGCATGTGAAATTATTCATTCTTTTATAAAAGTGAATTAAAACTCAAGACTTCCATATTGTTACTCTATTGACATTGAATCAGAAAAAATAAATAAATAAATAAAACAGCAATAGAACAACATGTGGTGTATATGGCACCATCAGCCTTCGAACCTCTAAGCATGTCAGGAAAAAACTCCCCCAAAAAATGCTTTCTCAGGACAAGAGGAAAAAACCTTTAGGTAGGCCAGATCTTAGAGGGATCCCCTCCCAGGACAACTAATCATGCAGTATTTTCGAGTTCTAAGGTCAGCAGAGATCAAGTGGCTTCAGGGTCCCTGGTTGCTGGGTTTGGCTTTGCAGCTTATGTAGAGCTGGTTCTGTGATGAGCTGAGAGGAAAGACAACAGTTACACCAGAAGATGAGACATACTTGGTGAAGCTCAGAGCTGTTGTTCCCCAGGTCAGAACCCTTCTCTGCTGTTGACTCAGTGCTTGGTTCTAGGAAGCCACAATGAAGATCTGCAGGACTTTGCTAGTTCTTCAGCTCATGCTGAGTTCTGTGATTTACAGAGAGAAGTGAAGGTTGTCACATCAGATGAACACAAACAAATGATGTGACTGCTGAAACAAATACATACCAGTTAAAGGTCCGGCATTGTGTGAGCAACAACTTTTCTAATGCTGGATCAAAAGTTTCTTCGGCTCTGAGAGTCACAGTGATGAGTTGATGGACTTCTTTTGTTGCTGACCGGTCACACACACACAGAGGGTTTGTTTTCCTGTACAGCACTGGCAGACAAAACTTTCCATTAATTTTCATTACCTTTAAACTTTTTTTAAGCAAATGTCACAAAACTCTTCATGATCAATAAATTGTTCAGTCGACTCACAACATGCTTAAGTCCTGCAGAAGATCAGTTGCAGCACCTCCTTTCAGAATAGTGCTGCGTACACGGTGTGTCGGTTTAACTGGTGTTAAGTTAACTGGTGACACTCCAAGCAGATGTTCAAGAGGCATGGCTTTTGAGGACCTTTGTTGACATTCCGTTTATCATTCACCATCTAATTACACACTTGCAACCGAATCGTATCAATTTATGGGGCCTTTTGAGACATGCATGTCTAGCGGAATGAGTTTATTGGGTCAAAGATGAAGATGAATGCACGAAACATAGGAAGAAGGAAATCGGTGACTGTGCAAATGCCAGTTCAAAATATAGCTGTCAACGAGTGAGAAATTTAACAACCCACTGAGCAAAAGACGTTTATTAGAGGTCTAGTCTAAATTTATACTTCATTTCAATGTCGGGATTCCAGCTATTTTTAGACATGATTTATACTTCGCCCTTAACTTCATTTTTCGATAACTTATTATGCAATAAACTTCTGTATTTGTTTCTATGTTTTTAAATTAGTTTTTAAAAACATTGAAGCTATATTTTATTATTAATTCTGCTTTTATTTTATCCATTGTTTTAATTGTTTCTTGATTGTTTTTTATCTTGTTGTTTTGTCTAGTTATGTACAGCACTTTGTACAGCTGTGGTTGTTATAAAGTGCTCTACAAATAAAGTTGAGTTGAGTTGAGTTGAGTTGAGTATTGTGCATAACTGACCTCTCAATACTGGATTACATTACTTATGATACCGTGGAGAGATATGCAGCATAGTATAGATGTAGACGTCATTTACATGTATAAATATATACTTCATTTCAACGTCGGAATTCGGTCTATTTTTAGACGTGATTTACACTTTGCACAAAACTTATTATTCGATAACTTTTTATGAAAAAGACAACTGTAGGGTGCATAACTGACCTCTAAATACTGGATTAGATTACTTATGATACTGTGAAGAGATATGCAGCATAGTATAGATGTAGACATCACTTACACGTATAAATTTATACTTCATTACAATGTTGGGATTCGGTCTATTTTTAGACGTAATTTAGACGTAAAAATGTATACGTCATTTCAACGTCTACATATAGACCAAATCTAGACAATTGATTTTAATCTACAATTCAAGAGTTGATTATTTAAAATGATAACTGAACATTGCAGAACTGATCTTAATCTATGGGTGTCAAATAACACTCCGGAGTGTGACCAGTGTTTTCGCCTTATCCGGTCAAAACGCATATATGGCCAAAAAAAACCAACTTTGGATCTTAAAGCCTGGGTCCTGCTGCGCACTCGACAACAAAGTTAGTCGCTGAAATTCCATTTCATTATTAGATTTAATGTGTTTTATCCGACTGGGTAACGCCTGCTGCCACCGTGACAGTAATCCAGCCACCGTATTGATGGAGCACGCTCACGTGACCATTCTTATTCCACCAGGAGCAAAGTAGTCCGTGATAAAAGTTACCGACATAGCCGCAAGAACACGAGATGAGTGACAAAAAAGTATTTGGTAGCTCTGCAAGAGCCCAGCCTTACACCCTTATGGAGATCATACCATAATCGGACCATAACATGAAAACGGCTTCAAATTGTGGACCGCACAACATCCGGCTGAAGCATTGCGCTTTGTCCACACTCAACCTCATGACCGTCGGACTACAACAGAAGTTCCAGTCGTTCCAGAGTTCGAGAATTATACTTTCGGCTGAAAAGAGGTGGGTGCTGCAGGAGATATTATAGAAAATGTTTATTTTTGCAAGCTTTGGTCCTCCCACCGTCGTGCATCATGATGCGTGACGGTGAAATGCATTCACGGCAAATGTTAAACTTGAGTTCGCATGTAGCCTGGTTGCTACTACGAGGGCTAGCTTGTGGCTAGTTTAGCCAGCGTGGGCCCAACACCATCAAATAGTCCATGCTAACGTGTGTTGTCATGAAAGGAAATAAGGGCCTGCTCTCTCTGTTGGAGCCTAGCTTAAAAGCTGCTAGTTAGGCTATCAATTTAAATTAGAAAATTAAGTCTATTGTGATGCTAGTACTGTTGTTTTTGTTTATCCAGTGTTATTTTTTTTTTATATAGTTAAATTTGTGTTTAACTGTAATTGTCATAGATTGTTTTTCACTGTGTGTGGTAGAAATGGGACGCATTAGTTGAATTATTCCAATATTAATTTGTTAATGCATTAGCAGTGCTATAGGAAATGCTAATACTAAAAATCTAAAAGTATTGGTATTAGTATTTTAGTAAGTAAAAGTAAGTATTTTTTTTTTACCAAGAGCAAAAGGTATTCATTATGCATTATGTCCTGCTTCACAAGTTGCCAATTGTACTAAAAAAACAAAACAATTTTATAATGGTTGATCTACAAGCTCACACTGTTAAAACATTATTATTTTTCTATTTTCTTTTTTCCATGACAAGAATTGCTCCCTTCTGTTTGACTGGTGCTGCTAGGCCAATTGGGTTGTACAGTCCAGCTACTTGGCTTGAGAGAGCCCTTCTTGTCAGGGGGTTGGGTGTTTCAGTTCTCACCTCCTTTTCGAGAAGATCTTTGCCGACTCTCATCTTCTTTCTTTTGGAGAAGTTAACAGAGGTTAGCATGTACAGCTTGTCTTCATCCACTTAGTAGCCGATGCCCAGAGCTTTGTTGTCTTCTTCCCTCATTTGATTTGGAAGAATGAAAGTTTTGCCTTGTTCCTTTAGGACTTCTGTTCCCATTCCTTTCCTCCCACTTTGACCTGATCAGACCCATGGTTTAAGGAAGAAACCGCCATCTTCAACAAAAGTTGAAGATCTCTTCAACCTTTGTTTTGATTTTGCCCAGTCTGTTTAGGTCGTTGTGGGAGGTTAAGAGGTCGTCCACATAACTGTTCTTTTCAATGACTCTGCACTCTTCTTCCAAGTGAGCAAAGTTTGGCCGGCTTGCTGTTTCTCTCATGGCCAACTGAGCAATGCAACCAGCAGGTTTGTTGCCAATGTTAGAATAGAAGAATAGAATATTCCTTTATTGATCCCCCATGGGGGAAATTTTTTTGTCACAGCAGCATCACAGACAAGACAAAAAGTGCAAAATGCAGTTATAACAATAAGGGTCCTAATATTAAGAACTTAATAAATGTAATAATTAAGAAAAAAATTAGAAAAGGGAGAAGAAAAAATAAAGCTTTCTACAATATACACAATTTAAATGCCATAAAAAAAGTGGTGGTGTAAATCCAGTTTTGTTACTGTTCATTGTAAAGTCTTATTGCAGAGGGGAGGAATGATCTGCGGTAGCGCTCCGTCCTGCAGGGTGGGAGTCTCAGTCTGCTGCTGAAGGAGCTGCCTAAAGCCCCCACAGTCTGGTGCAGTGGGTGAGAGGGATTGTCCATGATGGATACAAGCTTTGTTAACATCCTCCTCTCACCCACCTCCTCCAGGGAGTCCAAAGAGCAGTCCAGGACAGAACCGGCCCTCCTGACCAGTCTATTCAGTCTCTTCCTGTCCCTCTCGGTGCTCCCTGCCCCCCAGCAGACCACTGCATAGAAAAGTGCAGATGCTACCACAGAGTCATAGAAAGTCCTGAGCAGAGTCCTGCACACTCCAAAAGACCTCAGTCTCCTCAGCAGGTGGAGATGACTTTGGCCCTTCTTGTACAGAACGTCTGTGTTTGTTGACCAGTCCAGTTTGTTGTTGAGGTGGACACCCAGGAATCTGTAGGACTCCACCATCTCGATGTCCAGAGCCTGTATGTTCACTGGAACTGTTTGAGGTGTCCCCCTCCTGCGGAAATCCACAACCATCTCCTTTGTCTTACTGGGGTTGAGCTGGAGGTGGTTTGTGCCACACCAGTTGACAAAGTCAGTGATGACAGTCCTGTATTCCCGCTCATCCCCTGACGATACCAGAGTCTCCAGAGTCTTCATCAGGTGAGAAGTGAGGGCCACAGGTCTGAAGTGGTTTGGCTCCCTGGGGTGCGCTGACTTGGGGACAGGAATCACGCAGGAAGTCTTCCACAGTGTTGGGACCCTCTCCAGACTCAGGCTCAAGCTGAAGATGTGCAGTAGCACCTCACAGAGCTGGTCTGCACAGTCTTTCAGGAGTCTGGGGCTGATGCCGTCAGGACCCGTGGCTTTCCTTGGCTTCATCTTCCTCAGCTCACTTCTCACCTGGTCAGCTGTTATGGAGAGGCTGGGGGTGGTGCTGGAGGGGGTGGTGGAGGATGAGTGGAGGGGGGTTGATGGTGTCGGTGCCATGGGACTGAGGTGGTGTAAAAAAAAAAGAAGAAGGAGCAGCAGACGGGTCGTTGGTTAGATGAGTCGGGGGAGGAGTGGGAGTAGAGTCAAATCTATTGAAGAACAGATTCAGCTCGTTGGCCCACTCCCTGTCTCCTGCTTCAGGTCCCCTCTCATGGCCCCTGCTATGACCTGAGATGGATTTTAGGCCTCTCCAGACCTCCATTGCATTGTTCTGTTGCAAAAGGTTTTCCATCTTGGTCTTGTAGCTGGCCTTTCCCTCTCTGATCTTCTTCTTCAACTCCTTCTGCACCCTCCTCAGCTCCTCCTTGTCCCCAGATTTAAAGACCCTCCTCTTCTCCTTCAGGAGGACTTTCAGTTCCGGGGTCACCCAGGGTTTGCTGTTGGAGAAACACCGTACTTTCCTGGTGGATACGGTGTTCTCAACACAGAAGTTAATATAGTCCGTGATGCAGTCAGTCATGGTGTCGATGTCATCACCATGTGGGCCGCACAGTACATCCCAGTCTGTGGTCTCAAAACAGTCCTGCAGCGCCTCAGTGGCGTCCTCAGACCACCTCTTAACTTACCTGATGGTGGGGGGTTGTTTCTTCACCATAGGTATGTAAATGGGCTGCAGTCTCACCAGGTTGTGATCTGAGCGGCCCAGCGGGGGGAGGGGGGAGGAGGTGTATACATCCTTGGTGTTTGCATACAGTAAGTTTTATTGTCTCTTGTTGGGCAGTTTACATACTGGCTGAAGGTAGGGAGAGTGGAGGACAGCGATGCATGATTAAAGTCTCCAGAGATGATGATCAGAGACTGAGGGTGTGATGTCTGTAGCTTGGACACTTCATTATGGAGGAGTTCACAGGCTGCAGCAGCATCAGCCGAGGGGGGGATGTAAACAGTTAACGCGATGACGTGCGAAAACTCCCTCGGCAGGTAATATGGCCGCAAACTCACAGCCAGCAGCTCAATGTCCTTAGAGCAGAGCTGCTCTTTAACACTGATGTGCCCAGCATTACACCATCTCTCATTCACATACACCGCTATCCCGCCTCCTTTCTTCTTACCACTCTCCCTCACGCTCCGGTCCGCTCTGACGAGGTGAAATCCGTCCAAAGTTACGAGCGGGTCCGGAGTGAGTTCGTTCAGCCATGACTCCGTGAACATCATGAGGCTACATTCCCTATACTCCCACTGCAGCCGAGTTAGCGCTGTGAGCTCTTCCATCTTGTTGGGGAGAGACCTCACGTTTCCCATGATGATGGACGGGACAGTTGGTTTGTAACGTCTCCGCTTTGCCCGATGCTGAACTCCAGCCCTGCATCCTCTCCTTCTCCTGCGGAGCTTAGCGGGGATGTCCGGTCTCTCCCACGAAGGTGGCCGGGCTTGGCGCAGCGCCAACAGCTGTTCACGGCTGTAAACAATGCGGCCGCTGAATGGGTCGCCGGTCGCGGACTTAAAAACTCCGAAAAATAAAAGAAAACAAAGTGCTAGAGTCATGAACTGCACATCCATGGCTGGAATATGCAGACACAACACTGCTGAATGAAAAGAAAGATAAAAAGGTGCAGAAAACAACAATAAGAAGGCAAAAACGTGAAGTCTGTGAGGAGCTGCTGTGACTTGCTGCCACTCTCAGGGCGCCCGAGTCACGATGTTGACTCTGGTGATTGCATATTCACTGATCTCCTCTTCTGGGCTGTCTCTCCAGAGGAATCTGTGCAGATGCATCTCACGCTTCTCCAGCCAGACAGAGTTGTACATCTTTTTTATGTCTCCCAGAGCTGCATGCACACCTTCTCTGAATCTCAGCAGGTCAGCTCTAATGGGGTTGAGGTCCCTTCAGAAGAAGATTATTCATGCTCACGCCTTTGAATTTCTGGCTGCTGTTCCATACAATGCGAACTGGCATTGTGACTGAATGAGGGTTTGGTGCCACCAGATGGCTCACATACCATACTGGGCGATTCCACTTGTCCATGATTTCTTTGGTGAGTTTTATGGCTGCGCCTCGATCGACCATTTCATGGATCTGGGTTGCATAGGCAGCTTTCCAGTCTGGTTCTCTGCTCAGTTGCTTTTCCATCCTTAAGAAGCAAGCCTGGACAGCACCTCTGTTGTTGGGGAGAGAGGCAGGATCTTCAACCTAAGGATACTTTGCATCCCAGTGTGGAGTTGGAGTGTGAGCATCCTCCTCCTTGTAGGTGAGGCCTCCCTTAATGATCTCATATTCCCTCTCCTCAGCCAGAGTCATTTCCTTTCCTCCTGGTGGACAGTTTCCACATCTGCATCCTCCACATCTTGGCTCACATGCAGCTCCGATGCTGTCCCAGTGCCACCACTTAAGGAACTCACAGTGACTGGTAGCTGTGAATTTATTCTGGGCTGCATCCAGCCCGACTGTCTCAGTTGTTGGACTTGTGAGTCCTTGGTATTTGACTGCTGCTGTTCTCATGGAGCGGGCAAAGTGTGTCCTGGACTCATAGGCTGCTAACTCCACATCTTCCACCAGGTCTGGGTGAGCTCCTCCAACTGTCTTGCCTAGTGGACCTTCCCATAGGACGAGGTCTCCAATGACTTTTACTCTCTGGGGAGCCAGTCTTCCCTCTCTGTGGCTTATGAGGAGCTCAACCTCCTTTGGCCTTTTCAGCTCTTCGAGCTTAACCTCTGGAAAGAAGTTATGCAGTTTTTCAGGTTCGATGACTTGATGTACTTTGGCAATTTCGTCTAAGCCATGGCAGATGAGTACATGGGCTCTTTCAGTACTTTTCGGAATCTTGACTCAGACTTTGAGGAGGTATCTTTTTGTCTTCACCTCCATTGTCATCCCTCCAACTCCATGCACCACAAAGGTAATAGTCTCACTCATTAGCCTCAATCTTCCAGCAGCCTTGTGGGTTATGTAGTTGGTGTCAGATGCCAAGTCAATTAATGTACCAATTTTCTGACCAGCATTGGCAGTGACGTGCAGCAACATCATGATGACTGGAAGCTCTGAGAGGCCATTGTCCATCAGCAGCTCAGACTGGCCTAAAGTATCAAAAGCCATTGATGTTTTGTTTAAAAGCCTTCCTGCATCGCTCTGACATTTCAGGGGAAAGTTCAAACAAGAACTGTTCTTGTTCCTCTGTCAGTTTACTTCAGCCTTTGATGTCCTTTCCACTTTTTCTCTCCTCACTTCTTCCGATTCCTCCTTTCGGGCAGAGAAGCTAATGGTGATCTGGAGTACTGCTTCTTTTCTTACAGTCAGCGTTCCTGCATAGGAAGGTTTCTTTGCAGGCTCCAGCATCATCATGGCACACAAGGCATTTACTGCATGCTCCAGTCTTTTCCAATGCAGCTCCAGTCTGTTCCAATGCAGTTCTCTTTTCAGGCAATGACAGTCTTTTGAACTTCTGACAGAAGAAAATCTTGTTCTTGTGCCCACTATCTCCGCAGAGACCACATCCTTCAAGCTCTTCCTTAGTGGTTCTTGTTAAGC